ACGTGAAATTTCCTGTTGACGACTAATAAGGGAAACGAGGGAGAAAAAGCAAGATGTTTAAAAGATGACGAGTTGGCAATCATTGAAGAAAGATCTCGATAGCGCGTTCCAGACGGTACGTGCACGTGACCACGTCCGAATCGCGCAATAAGCGGCTACCAACACTAAATACTTTTTTTCAGAGCGAGATTCGCGATACCTTCTTCTTGCACAACGTGCACGCTACAGCCCAGCTGGATAATAATCTGCATAGATGAAAGTGAGCGGAGCCGCGACAAGTCGCGAATGCAGGCGTTTGCATGTGCGCCGCCGCTCGTAGGGTGCATCAGAGTGCAAATGCACTCGAAACAAACGTTTCACTGTGACGCAGCACCTGACCGGATAAACCGTACGCGAGTGAGACGTTGCTGCAATTGCACGGAGCTTGTCGAACGAGAGAAGAAAAAAACAATAATCCGCGACGTTCGGTTCACCGGTAGTAAAACGGATACACTGTTTTCAGGCAAATTAAATCGAGTAAGATTGAACTGCTTTAGTACCCGCCGCTATAGTTTCCTCACAGTGTGAAAATATAGCGCTACTAAATTATTGAGTTATGAAGTTATACGAAAAGTTGAAAGTGCTTGGTTGCGCTAATGCAACATGTTTCATTCGCAATATGTATTTTTTCAATCAATTTTTATTGACAATTTCGTAACACCGTAGCTGTAAAAAACGATTTCCAAGAGTTAGTAAATTTTTCATCACTATTGCTTGGTCCTTGATAAACGAAACAACTCGACTTAAAGAACTCGACTGAATATTCGTCAAATATTCGTCACCCTCGTGCGCATTTCACATTTTACAGCTTGCCGACGTTACAATGTTGCTCAATTTATTAAGCCTTTTAATCTCGACGAACCACCTCGCTGGAACGAATCCCTGACCGAGCGAGCTCGAGTAAGATCTTGCAACAGAGACCATTAAATACCCATTAGTGGCTACAGTAATCGTCGCACTCGTTACTTAAACTGCAAGTCTTGTATTGGAATGGAAATCAACGTGGATATTTGAATGTCATATTTGATCAATCAAGAGATCTCAGATCGAAATCGCGATTACAAGACCGAGTATCTTCGGCGATCGATTTTTGGGAGAGGAAGAAGCGGAGGACGAAGCAAAGGAAGCCATATGTGGCAAAGGATCCACATTGGCGACATCAATTGGGTTCGATGAATTCTGGGCCATCGCGTTGGCCATCCATGCAAATCGGTGAACAAAATTTCACGCAAACAGGGGTGAGGGAAAGTGAAAAGTACAACGTTGGGCAATTGCAGGCTGACTTGCTTTGGCCAGGCTCGGCCAGCTACGTCGCGATGGCGCAACAATTTGGCATTCCGATATCGTAAAGCACTAGTGCCACCACCACCGTGACACCACCACCATCACCATCGCCATCGGCCCGTGTACTACCACAAACCGGCTGCATGCCTGCGGAGCCTCACCTATATGCTCACCTATTCTATCTCGCAAGACCATTGATTTCCAAAGGACAAATTGTTCAAAGGACAAATCCTGCCGTCGTTTGTCGCATGACACGCGCCCCTCATTTACATTTGCGATAATTTTAGAATCACGTGGTTTGCTTGTTGTTTAATGCGATCCGATTCGGATGAAAAACAGCAAGTAATGGCTTTGAGATGCGAATGTTCGAGATACAAATGAAATATTCGCGAGTAGGAGCTCGTCCTTGCCAAATGAAAAAATTGATAAAAATTAATCAAATGAAATTCAACGTTTCATTGTTATCTAATATTGGTAGAAAGGTTATTGCTGCAGTGAGATTATAAGTAATAACGTTGCGATACGATGGAATTTCATCTGCGACAGCCTTTTACGAATGGCTAAAATGGTAATTTATAGAGTAAATCTTTTCATCGCGATATCCTTATAAAAATCGAAGAGGTGAATAACTTAGGCTGTTTTACTTAACAATGGAACCAGTAACCACCACTTCGAGATAATACCTAGTTTCTTGTACGCGGTAGTTATTTTATTTCGCGAGCGCGAAATTACACGTCACACAGCTGTGCAGTGAAGTTTTACTTTCCACGGATTAATCGATCGCAAAGGGTACCGTTGCGTCACATCGTTCAGAAGAATTTCGTTCGGTTCAAACGGCCGAGCAAGATATAGACGATTATCCTTGCGTCATTACCACGGTCGTAAATAAGCATATAGTCCATTAATTCGACGATAGCGGTATCGTCGTGCTATAATTCGGGTTGCGAGACTTTTCAATTTTCTAGCGAAGAGAAAGACACGAGCGTTTCTCAGCAACTGTTGTGATATCCAGCCAAATTTCTCGACTCGAAGAGACAAAGCGGAGTACCTATTACTTCGCTACTCTGAGACAGTTCAAAAGAAAATACAGACAATTCGACTCACCCTTAGCACGAAACGATGTGACAATTCAATTCACTTTGCAGGTGCAATTCTTCTTAGTGTTCGTGCACAGTGCTCAAGCTTTGGTCTTCGATTGCGGTTACCCTAAACTGGTGGCAGCGCTTCTTCTGCTTCATTCGACGATCTTCTTCGCCCTCTTCTCAGACTTTTACCGTCAAGCGTATAACAAAGACAGAACGAAGAAGGAGCTGAAGAACGAATAAACGAAGGACATTATCGCGCGTTTTTTTTTCTTTTTTTTTTTCAAATTCCTCCTCCGATATATGTTCCAACGCGTCGATCTCTCAGCTACGATCGCGCGCACGATCAAAAACCACGAATTCGATTAAAAGAGCAAGAAGCATCTGTGAAAATTTGATCACGTCATCGGAAGGTATGAATAACAATAAAGATATTCGAGTTACACGTCTAGATTCGTGAGTTCGATCGTCTGGAGGATCGAAACGATTGTTCGATCGGAGTGGAGCTTACAGATTCCCTCCGTATGGAAGAGAATTTCACTCGTTATCTCTCCTGTCCTCTGCAGAGCATCTCAGGTTTCGCGAACAGCTTTCGGACCAGGGCTTCCGAAGCACTCGCTTTTTTTTTGAGAAAATCTCGACTAGTTTCGAGGCGGATACGGGTAACGTTATCGTTCAAATTAACGTATTTAACGATGTAACGAACGATCCAGGAATCTTCGGTAAAAGCAATCGAGATCGCTGTTTTTCAGCTCGGCTTACGTTTGCGCGAGGAAAGTACATCGAAAAACCCGTAGAATCGACGTAGCTTGATACATCGATCGGTCCTTGGTGTCGTCAATTTAGTGCTCC